AGAGAGAGAGAGAGAGAGAGAGAGAGAGAGAGAGAGAGAGAGAGAGAGAGAGAGAGAGAGATTACCAGTGTGTATGGCATTGAATGAGCGTGAATTTGAATCGTCATTTACGAGAACGGCAGAAGTTGTGGCAGCTCACGAGTCACGACACGTCCGTCACACCCTAGCCATGCTAACCGCCAATTCTATTCCATTCGGAGGAAGTAGCGCCGCCGGAGATTCGGGCAGATCAACGGTGGGTGAGAGGTTCGTCGGATTACCATCATAGCTGGGGTGACGATGGCGAAGACGGGATCGTCTTCGGCTGCCATTGCATGGTCGTTCTGGCTGCTGATCTTGTTTATCGTGAGCGTAATCGTCATCATGATGCGCTGCACCTGCGCGAGTACCACCGCAGCTATGGGAATCACCCGCTCGCTGCTGCGCAAGTGGTATGCCGGCGACTCTTTGTACTCGTCAGCGACGGAGATGGGGGGGAGGGCAACGTCTCCAGAGCCAACGCGTGTCCTTCTATCCAATCCCTGTGGTCCCAGTTTCCAAATCGTGAACTCGGATCTGCTGAGTTGCGCTGCGGAATTTGGCAGCGATGACCTTGTCAGCAACGACTTCGCCTTTCCGCCGCCTGGTGAGTGGTTCACCAGGAGCGCGGCGTTGTCACCAAAGGACAYGTGGATGTTCGTCCTCGTCGCCGATCGCGTCTGGTTGCGGAGAACGAACGGAGAAGGCATCCTGCTGCCCTCTGCGAATGGCACTCTGTTTGCTGGGCCTTGGCCGCCTCCCAACAACSGCGGTCTGKCTGTGGTGGCGCTTGCTGTGTATGATCCGGACCTGAGTACMGATGGTTCCAATACCACCGCCGCAGGGAAGACAGTAGGTAGGCGAGTCCTCTTCGTGTCGGATGCCGCCAACCTCATGCTTCGGGTTTTCTTGGTGCCGTCACCAGAAAATGCCGCCGCCGCCATGGCCTCACCAGAGAGTGCCAGCGCACCAACGAAATCTTACGAGCTGTCATACTTTAACTTCACCGACGGGAAACCGATCTATAGCCTCGCATGCGATTCCATGCGCCATGTTTTGTACGCTACTTCAGAGAGTCAGATTCTGAAGATGACACTCAAAGGAACGGTAGAGTTCGTGGGGGGTGGGGTAGCAGGAGGGAAGGTCACCAGCGTGAGACTCGTTTCTGAGAGGGCCACGTTCCAATCCTGGATTGGATCTAGCCTCAGTGCAGGTTACAGTGACGACGATGATCCTCACAACGTCCGATTCGATAGGCCTTTCGTGAGCTCGTCCGCCATAACCACGGACGGAGAGCAACTGTACGTTGCTGATCAAGGCAACGACATCATTCGGCGAATCTGGACCGTGAACGGCAGTGTGGAGACCATCGCCGGACAAGCGAGAAACTCGGGTGCAAAAGATGGCGCCTTGTTGAGCGCCCTCTTGAGCCACCCCGAGGGATTGGCACTGATGCCCGATGGGTGCAACATGTTTATCTCAGAGTTCGAAGGAGGCAGAATCAGGTCGATTCACTTCGACAGCGTTGGCAAAGGCAGTTCCAGCGGGAAAGTTACGACGATCGCCAGGGCACCAGGTTGGTTCTTCTTGTCACTTTTGATGACTCCTAATGCCGGGACTCTTTACGTGAGCGGACGGTATCAGAAACTTTTTCAGCTAACTGTTAGTAAGGCGGCCCTGCCTCCTTGTTCGTCTTCCGTTACTGCCGCTCCTTCCCCTCGTTCTAACACCATCATCGGTGTCGCCGTCGGCCTGGGGTTGCTCTTCGGAGCCGCCGCCATCGCTGCCTCTTCCATCGTCATCGTCAGACGGCGTCGTGGGGGAATGCAGCTGGGGAAGGTGTCAAAGCGCTTCCCATCTGGGGCTGAGGGAGCGGAGCTCCTCGTAGGAGGAAGCAGCCCTTCTCCCGCCGATACCACGCCCGTTACCAGTCTAGCGGAAGGGAGTCTTAGCCAGCCATCGGTGGATCGTGAGAACCCTCCTTCTGGTCGTTCTGCTGAGGTCGGCGGTCGCGAGCTTCAGACGGCCGGTCCCAGACGCTACTGCCTTGCTGAGCTTAGGACTGCCTGCGATGGGTTCAGCCAGAGGCGGCTGCTAGGACAAGGAGGAGCGGCGGAGGTGTATAAGGGAGTGCTCAGCGGCGGGGAAGTGGTGGCCGTCAAGCTCATGAAGGGGGAGGAGTTCTCTGCAGGCAGGTTTCGCCAGTTCCAGGCAGAGCTGGCGGTGCTGGGTTCGATTCGGCACCGCCACCTCTGCAGCATTGTCGGCTACTGCACAGAGAAAGACAGGTCGTTGATCGTCTATCCATTCCTAGGAGGAGGGACGTTATACGATCGTCTGCACTCGCCATCATCGCGTCATCATCCTGCCGTCCCAGCTGCGGACGGAGAGACCAAGCGGATTGGCAAACCTGCGAAGTCCAAAAGTGTAGACGAAGAGGAGCGCAGTAATGCTGCGGAGGAGGAGGAGGGAWATAATACTACCGGTAGCTTGTCGGGAAGGGCGCCTCTAGAGTGGACGGACCGGGTGGTCGTGGCCTGCCATATCGCTAGTGCTCTGCACTACCTTCATGAGTTGGTGGATCCGCCGATCATCCATCGGGACGTCAAGAGCAAGAACGTTCTTCTGGGGAGTAGTGGGAATGGTCGAGCAGTCAGGGCGTACCTGTCCGACTTCGGATTAGCAAAACTTGGACAGAGTGTTTTTGGGGAGGAAACGGCGGGAGAGACGGTGGAGACGTACCACGTGGCCGGGACTATGGGCTACATGGCCCCCGAGTACTTCCGCGATGTCCGACTGACAGTAAAGAATGACGTGTACGCCTTCGGGGTGCTGCTGCTGGAGCTAGTCTCAGGGCGAAAGCCGTTCGGGGAACGTTCCTGCCAYCTGGGGGAGGAGGAGCGGAAGGAGAAGGAAGAGCGGGAGGGAAGCAAGGCTCTTGCTGAGTGGGTAAGGAGAAAATTGGTCGAACTTTCACGGGAAGAAGAAGGTGGGGAACGTGGCCAGCAATCTGATGATGTCTCTGTAAATCTCGCGCGTGTGAGGACAGAGCATGTCCAGCAGATAGCCGACAGGAGGTTGGAGACTCTSGGYGTTGTAGATTGGGGGGCGGTGCACAGCATGTTCGAGGTGGCGATGATGTGTGTCCAAGACGACCCTAATCAACGGCCCTCGATGAATGTCGTCTTGCAAAGACTATCGCAGCTGTCAAGGGGAGTTGCCGTGGGTATGGTAGGCTGACTACTTGTGTTCCACAGAAAGTTTTTTTTTTTTTTTTTTTTTTTGTTCCACAGAAAGTTGCATGTACGCCAGTTTTGAGAAGTATATATTTCGTACTACCGGTCGGCTGACGATTCCTGACAAACATACATGGTTTTTTTTTTTTTTCTTCTTTTCCCTCAAAAACGCCCTCTTTTGAGCCAATAGCTCTTCAACAATAGTAAAGAACAAACAAGACTGGATGGGTGTGAACACGAAAGAAGTCCTCTGGATCAGCTTGCCTCTCCATCGGCTGTCGATCCGAGAGGAGCATTCTCTCACTAATTTCTTCCTCTGCCAGTGCTTGTACTCCTCGTCCATTTTCACCCTTTAACCCTTGCAGGTACCGAGCAATCGGCCGCCGCGCCATCAACTGCTGGCATCGAGGCAAAACTGTGTCAAACTACTTAATGCACGTTTTCAGTAACCAAAGCCAAGAACTTTGCCTCCGATGTTCTTCCGCCTGCCCTCGTCATGGTCCATGATTCCGCGCGAGGTCGTTAGCACGATGTAATCCAACCCAACTGACGAGAGGGAAGAAGCCTGGCAGTCCAGTCTTCAATCTCCTTCACGGAAATGTTGAACCTGGCGACTAGTGACGCCGCACTTGTTCAGCCTTCCGTTGAGCTCCACTACGATCTTCCCCGCACGGTGCGATAGTCATCAACCAGCTTCCAATCGTCCAATATAACCGTGCTTCTGCATGACCGTCAGGAACTTTATAATCTTGATAATCACTTTCGACGAAGATCTGGCGGTTGCCGCGCTTCTCCGCGTTGAACTTATTCTTGAGGGCATCGTTCAACACACTGATGCGCATTGCGCACCATTTTGACTCACTGTTTTCACAGCTTCGAAGGGCAGCAGATGCCTCAACAACGAGAAGCGCGAACGTAGGGGCGAGTTCCAAGGGAGCCATTTTTTATAAGTTTCTGGGCAAATATGGGGATTTGATAAGTTTCTGGCCAAATATGGGGCTCGCCACACCACTGTCGAAATGCTAAAAAAAAATTGGCGGCTGTCAGAAGAAATTAAATTCGACAGCCGCCCCTTCCAC